AACCAAACCACTTGCTATCAAGCAACTCTTCACTGACCCATGGCAACCCCTTATGTGTGCTCCATAGGGTTTTCATTGGGTGATTTTTTGGAAGTAGTTTTCCAGGCCTTTCTTCCCAGGTGGCTCTGAGTGGACTTCAAATTCAGACCTTTTGGCTAAACAGCCCCAGTGCATTAACAATTTGCACTACCAAAGGACTTCTCCACGTATGTTGTTGTTGTTATGTGCCATCGAGTCAGATCCAACTCACAGAGACCCCTCCTTGGGTTTCCGAGGCAGTATCACTACGGAAGTAGATTGCCCAACCTTCCTTCTGAGTGGCTGGTGGGTTTGAACCACCAGCCTTCTGGTTAGCAGTCAAGTGCCTTAGGCACTATGCTACCAGAGCTCCCCTCCACATGTATATCTACTCTTTATACAGGTGTAATCACAATACAGTTCTACTGGGGAATAGTGAAGCAATAGTGACCATTCACTAATGATTCTATAGCGTCCAGACACTAATGCTGTTCTATAACACCATCTTCAAGGACAGTCAATCTCCACATCCCTGCCCATTCTTTGGTGCACATTTTTCTGTACCACTCATTTGATGCTTAATCACAAACTGCTTAAGATCTAAGAAATTTCATGCCATTTATGCAACAATGTATCAGGGAGGGGTAAGAGGGGACTCAATGAACTGAGAATTTGGGAATAAGGATTTCAGCGCAGTCTCTTACTGCCTTGCTGTGTGACCTTGGACAAGCTCACTCTACCTAAGAATTAGCTTCAACTATGAAATGCAGGTTCCGAAATGAAAATCACTAAGGAGGCTTCCTGGCCATGGGGTTCTTATTATTATGCTTTTTTTTTTTTTTTTTTGAATCCTTCTCATGAAATGCACTTAAATAATTACTCTATGTCAGTTAATTATCTCGGTATTTGTGTGAATGAACATCAACCCAGATATTATTTTGTCCAGGCAGCCTTCTCAGTTTCATGGGTTCCCAGCTGGATTCAGTGCGGTCTCTGTGCCTCTATAACAAGAAACGTGGACTGGTCTGTAATAAAATGTGTTACAATATATATGTTTATTTTATCTAATATTTATTTATTCTTCTCCACTAAACTATAAGTTCCCTGAAGGACTTAAAAGTTCTATGAGTTCTAATACTTAAGCAGTACCTGGGTAACACTTCGTTCCATTATACATAAGGTTGTCAGGTGCCCATTCAGTGGCAACTAACAACAACAGGCACAGGTATTTATTGAAGTGAATGAATGGAGTTTCAGTATTAAAAAGTTTTGCAGTAAAACTATGTCTTGTTTTCAGAAATCAATTAGTATACAAGTGGACCACTAAAGAATCTGAATCTTGCATTAGTGTTATATTTTAAAGCAAATGTCTAGAATTAAAATAGAAAAGACACTCTTTATATAAAATTTATAACATTTATTTAGGCAAAAAAAAAAAATCCCAAAAGAAAAAATATGCACACACATTAATACTAAGTGATATCCTGATTTAAAATGTAGTATGATTCTTGTACAGAACACGCCCTTTCATCTGGCCACAGTGGGAACAGTGTCTTCAGTCCAGATAATTGAGAACCTTTGAAATATACACACATTACACTTTCCAATGAATGTATCATATCCTTTGAAAGGAGTTAAACTCTTCTATCACACTTCAAGCAAAAGATATCTCTAAGAAAGTGAGAAATTGACAGTGGGAATTCCACAAGGTTTGGTTTTATTTTATTTTTGCAAATTATTTGAGAATATAAATCTTAACATCCTCCCATTTGAAAAGAAAAAAACAGCTCTCAAGAATTTATTTTATAAGCCCTTCTCTCAGCATTTATTAACTAGGCAGCTTCTTGCTTCTAAGCTGATTCAAATAAGTCTGAAAGAAATACAATTTTAACATTTTTTCCAAAAGTTAGTCCAAAATAAAACACGTACTCTGAACGAACTAGCTTTATGATTTCCCACAGAATATTCTGATAAATTTGGATTTTCTAAATATTCTTAATAGCGATTCTGTCTAACTATAAAGTTAGGTTGTCCAATTGAGTTTTGCTTTACCCATAGTAATGAGAAACATCACTGATCATCACATAGTTTACTGAAAAAAGTGGGGGAGAGGAGAAACAAGCAGAGAAAACTTTTTCTTAAGAGTACCTGTCAGTTAACAAACAGTGTCTTAGGTTAAGATTTGATAACCAAAGAATGCATAATTAGGAGTGTACCTAAATATCATCCTAAATCTGTGAAATACTAAAAAGTTACTCATTAGAAGCACATTCAACAAATTTTCCTATCATATTGCTATTCTCATCACTGGACCAAAGTTAGTTTTGCATTCCCAAAATACTCAAGTTCATGAATTAACACTAAAAAATTAAAAATGTGTCAACACACAGCAAATGGTAAAGGCTAAACACCCAATATCCATACAATCATTTGAAATTGCTATAAAGGATTTGAGAGGGAAACCAAAAGTTCATAAACCTCTCTGGAAGCTGTCTCAGACACTACTCTGAAGCCCTAGTACAATAGTCCCCAAATAAGTAACATACAGGTAAAACTGGAAGAATTTGTATCAGCTGACACTATGATACGGTCTTTAACTTACATCTTCAGTTTAGTAATACTGTTTATTCCAAGATAAAAGTTGTACAATAACCAAATAATGTAAACAAATCATTAGAGGACTGGAGAGGTGGTATGTTTCACCATATATAAAAGAGAAAGTTTGTTTTCTCTGCTATCTTATGACCTCTCTTCAACCTTGGGTACTGCTGCCCAGCGTTCTATGGAGGGTAATGAATTTTGAAACATTAAGCAAAAAAATAATGAGCCTTGGTGACACAGTTGTTAAAATGCTCAGCTGCTAACCAAAAGGTTGGTGGTTCAAATCCACTAGCTGCTTTGTAGGAGACGATGTGCCAGTCTGCTTCCATAAACATTTACAGGCTTGGAAACCAGGTGGGGCTGTTCTACTCTGTTCTATAGGGTTGCTATGAGCAGGAATTGATTCAACAGCAACAGGTTTGGGCTTAAGCCAAAAACATGTGTATTATTATTCTATTACTGATATATTTTATATACACATTTCTGTAAGGGCTTACTTGCCGTAGTGAGAACTTCTATAAAGAGCTGAAGTCAGAAAAAAACAAGACATCAAGATGACCTCAAAGCCAAGGTTTCCCTTGGCAAAGATGTCCACTAAGAACCAATATCCAAATGCTTTAAAATTTAAAAGTTCTCTGACACACAACCACAACCTTACCTTAGCATATATGTTCTTATTATGATGTGCCCCAAGGGCTAAACGACTGCTCCCATGCTATTTTGAAGTATGGCATAATTAAAAACACAGACAAAGTAAAGTAACTGAGGAGAACATAGACCAATCCAAAAGGTTCCATGAATAAGTACAACATCTTAAAGCTGAATATATAGGATTGATGTTATTAAACATGAATCTTGGATTCTTTGGAAGTTTGAAAATAAAAGATACAGTGAAAACAAACTCCTACAGCAGCTTTAAAGTGATTCACTTCAACCTTAGGTAATCCACTTAAACAGACTAGTTCCACTAAGTGGCATCTTTGTTCAAGGGTAGGGAGCGGCAATTCCTGAAACTGGGGGGTCTGATGTGCTTTTAAAAATCTTCAACCATTAGCCACTGAGTCCTTGGCTTGAAGGTAAACTAGCTTCTTATTACTTGTTTCTTTTTCAAATGCAAAAACAGGTTTTTTTGTAGAGTATAAGGACAAAGCAAAACTTTCTTGATGGAAAGAATAAGATGTCTTAATTATTTTTGCCCTAATTTCACATTGTTCTTGTTTTACTCGGTGACACCAACATGCATCACTATATTCTAAAAAGTCTAATTCCATTTCCTTTAGTAGATCTAAACCTCGCTGTTACTTGTGTACTATCTTTTCTTATTATCATCAGTTGCCGTCAAGTCGATTCCAACTCATGGCAACCCCATGTGTGTCAGAGTTGAACTGTGCTCTATAGGGTTTTTAATAGTTGATTTTCCAGAAGTAGATCACCAAAGCTTTCTTCTGAGGTGCCGCTGGATGGACTCGAACTTCCAATCTTATGGTTAGCAGCCTAGAATGTTAACTGTTTACACCACCCAGCAATTCCCAGTGACCTAAAATATCTGAGTGCACCAATGATTTGAGCCATGAGTGGTTCATCCCTAGTCTACATTGTGCTTAAAATAGCACCCGTAAGCCACCTAAGAAGTAACCCTTGAAGGCACCAAGTACTGTCACATTCTAGTATACAATTGCAAAAGGGAAGCCTAATAGATTCTAACTGTAGAGACTGGCTGGTTATGCCTCATAATTTCAATATATACATATGCTATATTTTAGCCAGATCCAAGATCATACAGACAATTCTGTGCCTTAATCACATACACAGTTAAGAACCATCCCACCAACCACAAAGGCACTAAAATTTTTAGATATTTGAGATGTGACCAATTATTTTGCTGGTCACTACTGATGCTCAAATTAGTAAACTTAAATTTAATCTTAAATATTTTTGAATCTTCATCTATCAACAAGTTATCATTTGAGTAAAGAAGGAATTAACTGTTTTCTGTACATTTCTAGCCATTCCAGAAAACAATTTGTAAAGACAAAAACCTGGCATTAAGCTATAAGGAACACACACTTTTGTCTTGAGAAACACAAAATAGAAACGTAAAGCCAAACTTCTTAAATAGGCTTTCCCTTAACAACACTAGGTAGGAGACCTGGAAATGGTCAATATACCTAGCAACTTCCAAGCTACTATAGGCCTGTTCTGTCTTCTCTATTCTGCCTTAGACATTAAAATTCAGCAAAAAAGTAAAAAAAAAAAAAAAAAAGTTTTTCGTTTTCTCTGAAATAGACTTAATTTGTGAAAATTTATCTTAAACCTATAAAAATTCCCTAAACCAAGTCAGTCAGTATTAACCTACAATTTAGTATTTTTAAAAAATGGTTCTAAATACCTATTTTTATTTTCTTAGTTCTCAGCCCTGTGAAGACGCTCCAAATAATACAAGTCTCATTATTGTGAAAGTAGCATGAAACAGGTCAAACTGTTATCAGCATACTAATAAACCAGCTCCTCTTTAAATAAAAATGCTTCTGAATAATTACTACAATTTAAATATACCATTTGAAATCTCAATTGACAACATTTTGGCCATCTATGGAAAAAATGTGGTCTACTGAGATTGCAGATTAACCTATTCACAAAATATAATTTAAATGGAAATTAAGTTTCTTAGTGACTTGCTGCCTCCCAAGTACTATTACTAATATAATAACTGATTCTTTACCATATTGTAACAGGTACCTTAAAGGAAAGGCAATCGTCTAAAAACAAATCCATCAAAAACATTTCCTCTCATGCACTGAAACTATAATCATTACATTTAACAAGAGTATAATTCTTCTCTTTCATTTTTGGCAGTGAGACATGGACATCTTTCTCCAACACGAACAGATTTAGAAGATAAATATATTTTGAAACAAAAGAAAATTTAACTTCTCAAGGCAAAAGAGCTGTTGATATTTGTATTTTAACTGAGCAGGTGATACCATCTGTAGTCTCTACTCCACTGACCAACAATGACTTTAAAATAGAGGGAAAAGAATGGTCAGTTTTAATGAAAGAAAGTTTTAGAAAAATTCACATTTTCACAACAGTATGACATATAGAGATTTGGACAGTTAGTTTTTAACACAAAATGGTGTAATTACACTGTGCTGCTTAGGGAATCATTTCTCAAGAGTAACCAGTAGTCTGCAGGGAGCAGCTGGTCCATGCTTCCGGGTGTAAGCATGAAGAACAAGCTACTGCTCGCCGGCCGCAGGAGAGGTGGGCCCCAGAAGGGAAGCCTATCCCATTTTTAAAACTATAGCACAAGAGCAGACCTTTGTCCAGCCTCTAAACTCTGTTCTCTTTTAATTGATTTTCTTTTGAACTTAATTTTCTGCCAGCCATCCAAGGTCCAGCTGGTGAGTAGCTTTCACAAGGAAAGGATTCAGATTTCCATTCTTTCACACTAAGAAGGACATCTTATAAAAGATACACGGACGTAGAATAAAGGCATTTTATACAGAAGCAGTATAAAATTTACAACTAAAGCAGTGCCAGTAAATCAGGTTAACAGCTTATCTGAAGCTGTACACTGACTGGAAGGGACTTTGAAATCAGAAAAATCTGGCCTAAGAGTTCGTGCAAACTTTATCATAAAACTGTAGAATCTCAAGCACAGGTAAGTTCAAACACTGGAAGATGTGGAAAATTTCCTAAAAGGCAAGGATGAAGGAAGAAACCCTTCTTGCCTCATAAGTTAAAAATCACAACACAAATTAGAGACTGTTCACAAGGGCAGTACTGTATTATCATCAATCCCAAACTCATCCTGACTCTTGTCATAGAAACCCCCAAAATATCATAGAGGGTAAGATATTCCAAATAAACCAATGAGAAAAATGATTCCTGTGAGTCAATCACCCAATCACCTATGGCTATCAATTTAGTCTGGCCTGGGACTGCTTTTTACAGGGAGGTGGCCTCCCATGACGCACAATGTGTTTTTCTAAGCTGTCCAGAATGGCCACAGCAATCTGCTGGACATGAGGATCAGTCTGTTCATGTTCTTTGATGTTGTATAAATGCTGCAATCCTCCTTCTTCAATCAGCATACTGCAATACCTGGAGGCTGAAAGAAAATAGGAAGAAGAGCTTAAAATTTTAAACATACCCCACAAAAAATCAGTTCTTAGGAACTTTTTTCACTTAAATTTTAGCTTTTGTTTTAATTTTATTTTGTTACTGACCACTAATATGGGCTATATTGTTGTTGTTGTTATGTGCCTTTGAGTCGGACCCGACTCATAGCGACCCCTCCTTGGGTTTCCGAGGCAGTATCACTACGGAAGTAGATTGCCCCATCTTCCTTCCAAGGAGTGGCTGGTGGGTTTGAAGCGCCAGCCCTCTGGTTAGCAGTCAAGTGCCTTAGGCACTATGCTACCAGAGCTCCCAATATGGATTATAGTTTGAAAAATACCTCTGTGATGATGTATACAGTGCAAAACACAAAGTAGGCATTCAATAAAAGTCTGTTAAACTTTGAAAAAATTAAACAATAAATAAAATGTTCTAATATACAAATAATACCCATACCTATTATCCTATTATTTATATGTTGTTATCTATATCTATATCTATGTATCAGGGGTTCTCTCTCTCTCTCTCTCACACACACACACACACACACACACACACACACGGAGCTCTGGTGGAGCAGTGCCTAAGGCATTTGACTGCTAATAAGAAGGTTGGTTCAAACCCACCAGCTGCTCCAAGGAAGGAAGATGGGGCAATCTACTTCCGAGAAGATTTACCACCTTGGAAACCCAATTTGGGTCTGTATTAGTTGAAATCTACTTGACAGCAGAAGATTTGGTTTCTTTGGTTTTATATACATACATACATACATATACAACACATATTTATGTAAGGAGCTCTGGTGGTGTAGTGGTTAAAACATTTGGCTGCTACACAAAAGGTTGGTGGTTCAAACCCATCAGCTACTCTGTGGAAGAAAGATGAGGCAATCCACTTCTGTAAAGATTTACAGCCTTAGAAACCCAATGGGTATTGTTATGAGTTGGAATTGACTCAATGGCAGTGAGTTTGGATTTTGAGTTTGATATATGCATGTATGTTTAAGTATACTGTTTGCCCTCGAGTCAATTCTGACTCATAGTCACCCTACAGGATAGAACAGAACTGCCCCATAGGGTTTCGTAGGCTGTAATCTTTATGGAAGCAGATTGCCAGGTCTATTCTCCCATGTAGCTGCAAACCCCTGACTTTTTGGTTAACAGTTGAGCGTTTAACCATTGTACCACTAGGGTGCTCTCTCTCTATTTAGAACCTCAAGATAGTGACATTCTAGAAAAGAAAAAAGCAGCAGAATCACAAGTAAATATTTTACCTGCAATCCAAAATCATAGATAAACACTATTATTCTTTTATGCATTTTAAAAACTTTGTGGCACTCATACTGCATGTGAAATTTTTAATTTTTAAACATTTTCTTTGCTTTTAAAAGTATTTCTTGTTCATATATGCAATATTTAGTTTTAGTCATTTTTATTGAAACATATAACTTAGATATAATGAAATGCACCCATATTTAATCTATAGTTTGATGAGTTTTGACAAATGAACACACCCTCTAATCACCACTACAATAAAAATTTAGAATATTTTCATCAACTAAAAAGTTTCCTGGTGTACCTTCACAGTCCAATCCCCTACATCCATCTAACACCAATGATGGTGCTCTCATTGCCACTGGCTAATGAGTGCTCCAGCTCCAAATCTCATTTTATTTATTTATCTTTAAATTTTTATTGTGATTTGGGTGAAAGTTTACAGAGCAATTCATTTTCCATACAGCAGTTTGTGCACATTTTGTCTCATGACATTGACTGGAGTTCCCCACAATGTAACAGCTCTCTTCCCACTTCTTTCCCGTAGTTACCTCTTCCTTGTGTCCTTCCCTCCCATACACTCCCCTCACCCACAGTTGTCTCCCTGTGCAAACATTTCCCTCTGTTCTCCCACGACTGATCGCTCCTAGAAGTGTATCACCTGATGTAAATGTTTACCCCATATGCCTGTCTGTTGTTTGGATGGAAGCCACAAGAGTAAGTTCAGTTCCAGACTTGAAGGGTGGCTAGGGGCCATAGTCTCAGGGATTGCACTAGGCTCTATCAGACCAGCAAACCTGGTCTTTTTTCAGGATTTTGAGTTTTGTTTCACATTGTTTTTGTTCCTCTCTATCCAGGATCTCCTGCACTGACGCCCGTCTGAGTGGTTGACAGTGGTAGCCAGGTACCATCTGGTTCTTCTAGTCTCATGATCATATAGGCTGAGGACTGCATGGACTACCAGTCCCTTGGACTAATTGCTTCCATGCGTCTTTGGTTTTCTTCATTCTTCTTTGCTCTGGATGAGGAGAGACCCACCATTGCATCTAGATGGCTGCTTGCAAGCTTTTAAGATCCCAGTCACTACTCACCAAGGTGGAATGTAGAACAATGTTTTTGTGTAGTATGTTATGCCAATTGAGCTTGATGTCCCCTGCTTTCATGGTCCCGAGCCCACAGGTCCAACTACTCACTCTCTCTGGGTAGCTGGCTGTGGCCAAGAAGCCACCACAACCTTGCCACCCCCTGTCAGCTCTACTATACACTTAGACATTCTTACAGCACATACAAATATGCATGTAGAAACACTGTCTGTTAACCCTATACATGGTCATGGGCACACTACCCTTTGCCTTGACATACCTGATCAATCTGTTCATCCATCTATTCACCCATTGGTCAATGCTTGCCATCACTGACAACGCAGTACTGTAAGGGCAAAAGGGTTCATCTTTGTTGTCTGAACTGCCCATGTACCTCTCTATGTCTTCCTCTTCTTCAGTGCCACTGTGTTACCAGTCACATTTCATACAATGCCTTTCCCTTCACCCAAATCAATACTTGTCTCTACCTATTTAACAATAAAGGCATTTGAGTTTTGTTCAACTTTTTTCTTCTATTCTATCCAGCACAGGTTTTTTTTTTTTTTAACAGTTCTATTGAGGTATAATTAAAATATGCTTCGTTTCTCTTAAGTAATGCTTAGGAGGAGTATGGCTGGGTCGCACAGTAAATATGTGTTTAAGCTTAAAAAAAATTAAAAGTAAAAATTACACTTCAAAGTGGTTATTATCATTTAGCATTTCCACCAGCAGTGTAGGAGAATTCTAACTGTTCTACATTTTCAACAATAATTCTGTTTTTGAATTTTAGACAGTAATACATGTATCCACCACTCATCTGCCAGTTTGCCATACTGTGGTAGCTTGCATGTGCTGTAATGCTGGAAGTTTTGCCACTGGTATTTCAAATACCAGCAGGATCATCCATGGTGGACAGGTTTCAGTGGACCTTCCAGATGAAGACAAACTAGGAAGAAGGACATGGTGGTCCACTTCTGAAAAAAGTGGCCACTGTAAACCTTATGAATAGAGAATTCTGGTAAGATGGCAGAATAAGCAGACAAACAACACAGACCCTTTTCAACATAGAAAAGGGGAATCAATTAACAAAGATACAGAAGATATTCCTGGAGGCCTGAGCTTTGAAAAAAAGGATAGAGAAATGGACTAAATTCCAACTAGCAGAAGAACCTGCATGAATTAGACATACAGAACTGCGGTCTGTCAGTAATCCTGATGGCACAGACAGCTTGGATATTGCCAAATGGTGTTAGGACCTAAGAATTAACCTAAAAATCGGCCCTGCTAGCCAGGGGCTGCATGGAGGACTGCACTGGTGGGTGGCTGGTGAATAAAAGGGGAAACACCTAAGAGGGGTTGAGCTATGGACTTCTGCCTGTCCAGAGGGTGCAGCCATTTTGAATGTTTACAAGTGGTTCAACCACTTTAGATATTTAAAGCAACAGCATTCTCTCAGATTTCAGGGACTTAAGAATAGGTTCCACTTGCTGGGAACCACAAGGACATTCAGGACATGAATAACTGGGAAGGTGTGGTATTCCCTTTGTGACTCTTACACCTCACACCCTCTTGGTGAATGGAGGTGCAGCCATCCATCATTCCCACCCACCTTCTGGGCTGGCAGGAATTCCATCCCAGCCTGTGTGCTCTGATGGAGCCTGGGTGCCCTGCCCCATGCTGCCCAGATTTTTTTTTTTTTT